ATGTATAGATAGGATGCTGAAAGAAGATATGAATAAAGTGTCAGAGGAACGGGACCGGGTAGGCTTGACCAACTTGCCATGGGGAAGCGACCGAGTTGCGAATACAAAGTCAAAGCAAAGCTATCCATCCCGTGAGAGTAGGTTGCCAACATATAAAGGATCAAAACATCAGTGATCCGGAGTCTTCTATTGCCAAGGTTTACTATCACATTCGTTTGGTATAACCACCAAAACGAGTCGTCTTACTCTTAAAATAAGAGAAGATAATAATGAATTTTCCCAAAAGCAGATAAGTTGTCCTCGCGATGCAATCACAATTTACGCACCGCTGCTTCAAAAAGTACTCGAATTTAGACTGCCTATATCTCACCGGAATGGAAACTGGCTGATTTAGAGAATAAGTTCGGCTAGTAACCAATCACTTTAAATAAAAGTAAAGTTGTGCACTTGTCCTAGCGCCAAAAAAGTGGCCGATTGTCGAACTTGGCAGTCGGACAGGTTTGAAGCCCGTTGGAAAATCCCACTAGAGTCTGGAATTTGCCGGAATGAGTAAAACGCAACTCACAAATATACCATCATATCAAACGAGCCAGACTGACTAAGCTCGTATTCCAGTTTCACCGATAGCCTCGAAACGCACAAGTTGTATTTGCCATGGCAATTGAATAGACTACTTATTTTTCGTCTGTAAGTAGGCTTTCGCGATTTACTGTTAATCTCGAAAAACTACTTACAAACGACAAATAAGTAATATAGTCGATTGTTACAGCAAATACCAGTTGGCTTAATCGACAATCGCACCAGACAATGTGATATAATCGCTCAGGCGAAAACCGGCCTTACATTTAGCATCGGCTTCTGAGTGAGAATACCGACTCAGAAGAAAAGAGCTGTTGTCGAGCTGTCTAGAAAGACAAACGGCATCATTCAGAAACTGGGAGCTGATGTGAAAAATGGTAGCAACCGATGAAAACTGGCCTACTGGCCAGTGGTGCCTACCAATGGTCAACGGGGCCGCGAGTTCGCTCCATCTCGTCACGCCATTTCGCCTCGAGAATTATCGCCTCCTCCAGTCGCAGACGATGCAGACGAGCCTCAACAAGGTCTGTGTGAACTGGTGAAAATATGAAGTCCGGATCGGAAATCGGCTGACAACTCTTCAAGAGAGTTAAGGCTTAAAAATGGAAGGTTTGATTGGTCAAGTGAGACAATTGGAAAGAAAAAAGTAAATAAAAGTTATAAATAAAGGTGGCATTTTATACATACCGATATTTTAATGGTTTAATATAATAAATAATAATAATATACAAGATTGTTGTATGTAAGAAAAGGTGTAAATTTTACTACATTCTATCATACTCATTATGCAAACTTCCATTTCGAGTGAAAGTTTGTTGGTGAAGAGATTCTAGCGCCGATCTTACCAGAATACGACTAGAACATTCTTCTTGGCGCCGTTTTCGAGACAGTCTCATTCGACTCCGTCGTTTGGCGGATAGCATCTGACCAGATGGTATCACACTTGCAACCACACCGGCTCACCGGCTCATCTCTAAATGCTGTATGCATAGAAGTGGGTTGACCTCGTTGTAGCAACTTGGTCCTGTTGTCAGGGCGACTTAGTAGAACGCACCAAGTCCGAAGTCGTCGGGCATAGTTGTTGTCATGACTCCCAGCATCTGACAGAGGACTTGATATATTTTCAAAACGTATGGCAAAACTCACTAATTTTGCCGACTACGAAGCCAGTGAAACGTCTGAAAAGGTACCAAGTCCACTGTCTGATGACAACTTCTAAGGCAGAGAACTTCGGACTAGGTGTGTTCTACTAAGTCGTCATGACAACAAGACCGAGTTGCGACAACGAAGTCAACCCACTTCTATAAATCGAAAGGAGACTACGACCATACCAGAGGCCACAACATCTTGGTCTTCATAACTTCAATTAAACTACGGCTGTATACAAACTTTATTTTTTGCATTTAAGTATTATTTCGAGAATACCAGTAAATAAGTAGTATGATATTTATTCACACAATTTCCAATCGGTAGTAGAATTTTCCCACAATGACAGGAGTAGAGCTGACGTTTCCATTTAATTTCACATAGCCTTGCTTCAGGTTGGATTTTCAATGAAGCAAACGTATTTTTGCTATAACACTCGACTACGTTATTTTATTTTTCGCATTTAATTATGGTTTCGAGACTACCAGTAAATAAGTAGTATGATATTTATTCACACAATTTCCAGTCAGTAGTAGAATTTTCCCACAATGACATGAGTAGAGCTGACGTTTTCATTCAATTTTAAACAGCCTTGCAGTCCACTTCAGTCGGAATTAGAAAAACCTTTTGGAAAAAAGGCAATGTGCAATTTAATGTAAGCGTCAGCTCAACTCATACAATTGTGGGAAAATTGTTCTTCTACCAGTCCTTCATCACCTTAAGCAAAACAGGGTGAATAAATCTCGTATACATACTTTATGTCTGATCAATTTGATAAGGTGTAAAGTGATGAGGTTGGTTCCAGTCGTATGTCAACCTCGAATGCGTCTGTCTCTGTATGTCTATTTTCCTGTATGTATTCGCATTGGTATGGAACCAGAACTAATTAACTCAACAAAAATAACCTCTGGTATGTTGATGAGCTTTTTGTGTCTTCATACTATGGAGTAAGAGTGGCCTAAAGGTACCGTGATTAAAAGCAAGACAAGAAAATACCAGTTGAGTTGCCTACTTTCTGCAGACTGCTCAACACCCTCTCTACCCTTAAGACTACTAACTAAGCATAAGTAGTGCTTAATTAGCGTCTTGTCGGTATTCCATATTCGGTTAATTTTGATGGCTTCATTACTTTTACGTTTAGCCGCAGAGACAATTTCATGTTATCGTGTGCTCTGCTGGCTCAGAACTTTGAAGCCAACAGTTTCTAAGGACGCTTTTTTCGCACAGCCATCCTTTGTTGAATAGAAAGACAAGTCTCTGCAACAGAAAAGCGACTACATGAACACATTATTTGGAGAATGGGTCAACTTTCTGACCTAAGGTTGGTGTAACTAAAAGAAGTGTCGTGGCTTTTATTTTCCTACTTCCTTACCGGTTGACATATCTTTTTAGGGAGAATGCATAAAGTCTCCTTATCTCATCTTGTGTATTCACCGTTCAAAATGGTATACTGTATTAATTCTATGCTACTTTTAATTATTCGCAAGTAGTATTAATTTAATTAAAGATATAAATACCAAGATGTTGTGACCTCTGGTGCGGTCGCAGTCTCCTTTCGATTATTAGAAGTGGGTTCACTTCGTTATCGCAATTCGGTCTT